TTGCCCTTTGACTCGACTGCTCTGGCTCTGTCAAGTGCGCTTGACATAGCTCATTAATTATAATTACAAGCACTCGGCAAAAAGAACCCAACGAATGACTCCACTCGGTTGTGGGTAATGTTAATGGAAAAAGTTAAAACAACAACAGCAATAACAACAACGACAACAACGACATCAACAACAACGACATTGTGGTTAGCTACAGGAAGTATTTTATATACTATGAAGAAGAGACAGCGTCTAGAGATGGGCATATATCTGTTTGCCGAGCCCTGAATTAGTTGAACTCTTGACACATCCACTTGAGAGCAGTAAAAACAGCTGAAAATGATAGCAGCTGAGTTGTGGTTATATATCAAATAGAAGCTGAACAGTAATTGAAGAAATAGAGGCTGCTTAAATGTGGTTTCCCTGTAATCCTGCTGTAAATCTTGTTGGTATATCAAAAAACTTTGATATGACATATATGAATATAATGATATATATGGTAAGAAGGAAAGAAAGCTCTACAATGCTTAGTTAGTTTCTTAAGCAGAGCTTACTGTAAATATAATACATTCATATTAGTGTTTTATGAAGAGCTTGAACAATATCAATTTCCTCATAATTCGCCTTTATATATTAATAGCAGCATAATAGTAGTAGAATCTGAATAATGTTGAAAATGTTACCCCATATATAGGTAAGGCTCATATGATGCCTGATAAGAAACATAATAATCCGTATAATTGGAATTTAGTCTGAATTGAATGCGCAAAACGTTTTCTAGGTATTCTTGCCTATTACAGAGACAGATGGATAGAATGACTAATTAAGGCTAAGACAGAAAATATACATACATGTATGTGTGTATGTAGATAAGTGCATATATACATAAATACATACACATATGTATATAAAATCTACATACATCTACATCTTAATATAATGCTGTTCAGTTTTGTCATGATTTTCTGCTACTGTTGCATTAGTATTAGTGTGAGGTTGAAAGGTAGAATTTAAGAGTTGCTGTAAAGCCATTATTCGAGTGAGTTTACGTCTCATTTGCACACTCATTATTGCTTGCTGCAGAGAGAGAGAGAGAGAGAGGCAGAGAGAGAGAGAGAGAGAGAGGCAGAGCAGAGTGAGGTCGAGATGAGTAGTTGGCGAATGGAACAGAGCCAGCGCGCAGTTGTAAAAATATTAAATATTAATTATTTCCAAATTGATACGAGCACAACATAACACTTACATACATAAACTCATACATATATAGCTCTACAAAAGACTCGTATAACCTTGAGCAAACGCATATCTCTCTGGCCTTTTGGTAAAGAAAAACAATCGTGCTTGAAATATTTGCTTTGAGCTCCTCTGGGCTGCAACTTTTAATTTGTTTATTTTTTTTTCTCTCTCTCTCTCTCTCTCTCTCTCTCTCTCTCTCTCTCTCTCTCT